GGGGGGGGGGGGGAGGAGCGGGCGCCAGCCCCAGCCCCGGGCACAGCTGCTGGCAGCAGGGGCTCGGAGCTGGGTGCCCCCTGCTCCCAGCCGCTCTCCCCTCCTCACGCAGCTGAATTTTCAGCAGAACAAACGAAATCAGCAGATGTTTCTTCCCGAGCAGCCCGAATCCCAAGCCAGCTGTGCACTTCCCGAAGGACAAGGGCCCCTCGGAAGCGGAGGAGCTGCCAACAGGACGGGGTGCTTTCAGAGAAGCACCCTTCAGCAGAGGGAACAGCCTTCCCCCTCCGACTCGCAGCCCAGGACGCGCTCTGCCTCTCTCCCTCAGCTTCACGGGCTGAGGCCGCTGCAGACACCGCACCTGACCGAAGCACAAAAGCGAGAAGCATCGCTCCCTCGTCTCCAGCTGCAGACAGCGCCTGGCCAGGGCAGCTTTAAATTCACGGGAAACGCACCTTCTCCATCAATTCCCGAGTGCAGGGAACTCATTTGTTCTTTAGCAGAAGCCCTGACAGCAGCCTTCCAGCTTCTCAGGCCTCCACCTCCGATCCTGATGAATCTTTTTAATTGTTATGCCAGAAGAAATCTAATCAAACTCCTTTACATAATGCTCCGGAGAAGCAGCACCGTCCCCTCCCTCCCTGCAGGGCCGACGACATGGCCGAAAGCCAGCTACAGAAGTTGAGTGCAGCGTCTTCCAGGCAACGAACGCTGAGCAAAGTCATTTGGTCCAATGCTCACCCCCATGACGGGGATTCTTCCGAGCCACGGAGGGGACGAGGCTGCTGGGACATGCACCAGGCCCCTCTCGTTACGTTTTGTTCTGCCCAGGCACCGTCGCTGCCGCAGGAGCAGCGCGGTGGGGTGGGGAGCAGGACAAGGCATGCTGCAAGGTGGAACCGCACAGCTATCAACTAATGAGCTGTTCTGAGAGCAGCAGGACTAATCAATAGGGAGGATGCTGTCTGGGTACTCAATTCCCCGGGGTCTCGTAAGATAGAAGTGCTATCAAAGGCTTGCCTGCCAGCCAGCACGGCTGTCCCACGCGGGTTCTCCCGTGCCTAGCAAGGGTCAAGAATATTTCCCTTCCGAAGGCGCTAATGGGATCCCTCTCCTCTACCCACTTCCACATTCACGAAACCTGTAGCACCTCAGTGTCCTCGAGGCCTCAGACCCCCTTCTGATGGAAAGCAGCAAGTGGGCTCACGGCAGTTGTGGCAGCAGCGCACACTCGCGTGCACCGACACACTCCGTTCCCTTTGGAAATCGGGTTAAAAATCAGCTGCCCCCTGGCAGAGCTCCACTGCCACGAGAACCCCAGGAACCGCACCCCGCTCCGCCCCAGCTCTCGAGAAAGCAACAGCACAGCGTGGCTTTGAAAAATCACAGAATCACCAAATGTTCGGGGTTGGCAGGGCCCTCTGTGGGTCACCCAGT